TTTCGAACCCTAGCAACTCTTATCGCATAAGATCATTTCCTTTACTCACATTTCTTCTCCGACATCGTCTCTCCGTCCTCTCCGTCATCTTCGGCTTGCGCTGCTTCGACGTCGATTGCGGCTCGCGTCTGCGACATTTGAAGCCGACAGAGTTTGCATCTGCTGCTGTGTCGTCTCTGTTCGATTTCGACGCCGACAGGTTCGCACGTTTCACACGTCTTCTTCGGTTCTTGTCTTCTGCGTGGCATTATGCGGCTTCATTTTTGCGCGACATTCTGCGTCGTCTTCGGCTTGTCATTCCTGCCCTCTGGCCGATTATAATTGTTGTGATGGAGCTTCCTTCTTCTTCGGTTGAACTTGACAAAGTCTCCTTTGCCCATGTGGTGGGTAATACTCAGATGGAGATGACGATTTGTCTTCCCCTCAAGTTATAAGGAATATCGTGATGATACAGACGACTACTCATTTATTAAGAATGCAAGCAGGAAAGTGAGAAAACAACACTCTTTTTCTCGGAGTTAGAAATTTCAACCCTGACTGACAAATTCTAGTTTGCTCTTTTTGAAAAATTTCAGTGGGGGCACCCACCTATGGAAGTTATCAGGAAAAGTTTTGATGATCTCAAATTAGCAGGAAAGTAAAAAGTGGGGCTAATGGATGTGAGACATGTATTGACGTAATTAACCGAGGCTGAAAACTACATTCGGATTTTCTCCAAAAAAATATCATAGCATTGCTGGTAAATCAATAAAGCTACTCAAGTGATCTTCTGATTTTGACCCCAATATGAACCTCATATTGTACCGGTATGGTTTAGTCTACCAGATCTCAAGCTGCACTTTTTTCATCATCAGACTCTTTACTCTATTGCGGCCATATTTGGGGACTCTATGAAGCTAGATCTACTGAATTTCAACCTAACCAGATAACCTAACCAGATCTTCTGTGGCTTCTGTGGCCAAAATACTTGTGAAAAGAGATATTACTTTACCTGATGTTACTGAAGTCTGGTTGGACACAACTCATAATGGATATACAAATCGTCATGGAGCATATACCGCCTTATTGTTCTCATTGTAAGATGTTTGTGCATACACTTGTAAATGCCATAAGTTTCATCCTAATTTGAAATCTAAAGATCAAGTGAATAAGGATGGATATAATCCCACTACTCTGGACATATCTGTTTCATTTGGAGAGAAAACTACCACAATATAGTTTTTGGCTAAAGATCAGCCCCCTACCAGCCCTGCTGAGAAGGTGCAAACCGATCCTCTACCCAACATCGCAGTTTCTGATGAAGAACATACTACAGTACAGATCCAAAAGTGTTTATATCACTCACTGTTGTTGAAGAAGACTCACATGCCAAGGCACACGAAAGTGCTCATTTAATTCAATAAAAAATCAGCTGGTATAATAAATAGTTTTTTCTAATGTTCAACGTCCTACACATGTCCGACACACTTTAGACCAATCCACTGATCAGACGAGTCAATCTTCAGATGAGGAATGACAGATCTATTTCATGAGGAAGAAGAAGACTAGAGGCTGACTCGAGCTTGGGAACATATTGGATGATTCTTTGGTTACTACTGACAATGACACTTATTTTACCAATTTATTAGCTGACTCCTTTCCTAGAACTAGAGGCAGCGGCAAAACAAAATTGGGTTGCTCTCTAGCCAGCTGATACTATGTTTTTTGGCATTTTTTGTTTTTTTCTTTAGGTCTCTTGTAATTTTCAGTATTTTCTATTCTTTTGGAACCATTTATATGTGGTGGTTATTGTGGGGGAAGGGTGCCATGCTTGGGTCCTTCTACACAATCTATATGTATCCTTATTTCTTTTTAATATATTAGCCTTTGGGTTTTCTCAAAAAATAAAATAAAATAATATATATATATATATATATATAATAAAATTTTCAATATAAATCTAATATAAATACTTAAACATCCTCATGTATAATTCCCTTAATTGAATTGCTTATTGGTATTCCATAAAATAATTAATTGTTATATCTTTTTAAATATTAACTATTTTATCAATTATTTGTGCTACTTGCAATTATATATATATATTCATAATTAAATTAAATTAAATTTCTAAATTTTGAATTTGGTAACATTCTTAGAATTTCTTGAAAATCATTAAGATTAATTAGTTAGAATAGTTACATGTAATAATTAAAATAATTCTTAACACCTAAAATTCTTCTTTAATTTCCTCAACTTTAGGTTTGTTGTAAAAAATTCCTGTTATTTTTAAGAATCAATCATTAATTTTTTTTTTAAATGAACTAAAGTAATTAGGAAGTACATTAAATACATAATTTCAATCAATTAACATTAATAACTTAAAAAAATTATTATTTTACCTTTTTAACCTCTGCTTTCCTAAGTCATTCGAATCGAACATATGACTTTGGTCTAGAATTTCACGTGTGTAAGAAGCTCCTGCGACCTCTTCAGCCTCTCCAAGCTGTCGGCTGTGCTGCCTGGTTACTCATCGTGGTGCTTCTTATCCCTTGTTTTGAGTAAGCAACATAGAGTGAGTAACAATGAATTCAATGAAATAATCAATGCTAAAATAAGATTTTATTCGCGGAAAAGAAACGTGCATGTTCATATATCCATACAAGACATAACATGCTAGAATCGTATACCACATGTAAAATAAAAGCACGTGGCTTAAAAAAATCTTGATTGCTGTATAAAATATATGTCATTCATTTATGTGTAATCATCAATATGTAATAAGCATGGTCATAAGAATCATAAATCTATTCATATCAATGTCATTTGTAAATGTATAGACATCAACTATTTTTTTGTCTTGTCATATCATGGTTCATCACTCCGCCTCAAATGTCATATGAACTATTGATAAATATTGGGCCACAACATAGTAGGTTTTAATATTCTTCCTAATACTAATGGTTTCCTACGTTCTGTCATCGTCTGATCACAACGATTCCCAGAATTTCGTCACTGCCTGAATACCAAAAGTTGGAAATACCACATTCCTGTATAGTTTACTTACAAACACTCATGTAATAGTCTACACATAATATCACTTGTGATATTTCTTAAAGCATAATATCAATACCAATTATTCAAAGACATTTCATATATCACAGATATGAATACCAAGAGTCGGGAATACCACATCCCTATATAGTGTATTTACAAACACTAATGTAATGGTCTACACATAATATCACTCGTGATATTTCTTAAAGCATAATATTGGTAGCTATCAATCAAAGACATTTCATATATTACAAACATGAATCATAGCAAATGTATACTTACAGAAGATTAATTTCGTAAGTATAGTCATATGTATCATAGCATAATCATAACACAATAACTTCAAATGTATCGTAAGAAGAAATCAGCTTGTATTCATAAATTCAATGCAGATATTTATCCATAATATGCATGAGAGTCTAATTGCATTTGTGTCAAATAAGAAATTATATGAAAACCTATAGAAAAATATTTTTATTAAGTTAGCGCTGGATTGCTTCACCTGACTTGATGGAGCAGACCTATAACGAATTCCCATATGCTCGTTTTGTGATTTGACTAGAAACATAATTTCTTTGTCAAACCATACCTCAAATGGGCTTCTCGGCATAAATTCGCCCTTTCGATACCGCCTATTTTTCTCTCTTATTCATATTACTTCGATCTTCCATTTCCCTCACTGAAATCGTGCTAGTAGCCCTTATGGAAGGTTCAAAACTAAGTTCGATGCTTCAAACACAATTCGACGCTTACAACACAAGTTCAACACTACCGAAAATTAAAAATTGCACAAATATGTGGAAAACATTAAAATGAGAACAAGAGAGAGGAATTAAACGTTTATAATACTGTGAAAGAAGGTTTCATTCCTTTCAATTTCATTCCTAAAGCTTGAATTCACAGCTAGTGGCTCCCTGTCGTGCGTGTGGCTGCTTCGTTCGCGATTGTGCTACAGTGCATGGGTCGCAGACCCTTCGTCTGAGCTAATGAAGTGAGGGAGAGGGCATGGAAATCCTAGCAATATATCGCGATCCAATCTTAATTCTCCGCCGTTCGATCTCATCCCACCATTGCATGTGCATGAAAGTGCGGGGATCGGCTAACTATAGTGGAGAGATGGGAGATTAAGGATTCAATTAAGGTTTAAATTAAGTTAATAAATTTATAACTTCTGAATCTTATATTTCCCAATCCATTCATATTTAATATATAGTGCTTTATATAGAATTCAATCGTTTGACATGTAAATTTTATAAAAATAATTAGGTTGAATTCAGCGTGATGCGAAATTTGGGGTAGTGTCAAAATTTGCCAAACTTTAACTAGTACTTAAATTTTGGGCGTTGTAGTAAGAAGCACTTGATCCCCATCCATGGTTTTCACTGATTTTCTGGCAGATTTATTTATGACTACTCTAATCTACTTGATATTTTTATGTGTTGTTGGTTGGCTTCCACAATGGTTCGATACTTCAATCTTCTTGGGTTATGCAAACTCGGGCACCATAGCTTTCATATCTCTCATTTTATTCCATATTTTCATCTCTTATTATTTCCTAGTTTTGTTTCACTTTTGTATTTCACACTTTTTTGTTTAAGAGCTAAGCTTCGATGTATTTTTCTTTTATGGATGGATTGGCGTCTTGAAGTTAGAAACTATATTTTGAAATGTGATAAAAGTTTGTTAATTTCATTTTTTCTGTTTGATATGCTAAACAATCAATGTTCCGAACACTATTAAAAGTCCCTCAAAAGTGATGATTTTATTTTCAGACTCAGAATAAGTGAAAATGAAATCTTCATTGTCTGAAATATGATTTTCATTTACAACAGGCAACCAAATGAGTCCCGAGTCCTGAACTCCTTGGTATTTTTGTAGAACCTCAATTTTTTTGAACGAAAGTTCACATGCCTTAATAAAAATGTTGACGGCTAATATATTAGTAATAAATTCTCTCTATGCAGTATAACCTGGTACATATTGCAGCAGGGGATATATTGCGGGCGGAGATCGCAGCCGGTACTTTAAGCGGGAAATCAGCTAAAGAATATATGGAGAAGGGAATGCTGGTCCCTGATGACATTGTGGTTGTGGTATAAATAACATCTTCTTTTGCATTCATCTTCTGAAACTTTTTTTTTGCCTTCGTGGGTATTTATCAGAAATGCTGTGATGCTTCCAGATGGTTAAGGAACGCTTGCTACAGCCAGATGTCCAGGAAAATGGCTGGCTATTGGATGGTTACCCAAGGAGCTTGTCTCAGGCAAAAGCCCTGGAAGATCTAGGCATCCGGCCTGATCTTTTCATTCTTCTTGAGGTAAGCAAGCTTTTTTGGGGGAAGTATCATTTTTGTTACACATGTTGCTGCCCTTGTATTTGATCTTGTAACAGCCAAACTTTGAGAGACCAGGTACAAGTTTGGCAATTTTAAAATGTACCCCAATTTTCGCATCCCCAAAAATCAATCAAATCAATTTTATAAAGTTCTACGCAATAAATTGATGAATTTGATGTATAACGCTATATATTAATTTTTAATATATTGGGAGATATTAAATTTTAAATTTATAATTTTAAGACTTAATTTATCTTAATTAATCCTAATTTTCTTTTTCATCTCGCATGATCGATGTAGCCACCGTCATTTCGTGCGATTCTGTGCCATGAGATTGGTTGAATGGTTGCAATTCTTTGGGGAATTGTGTTCAATGCCACAAACTCTTTCCTCTCCTCTGTAATCGCCCTTTGAATGTTGTCAAATAATTTCATTTATAATATGCAATTTCTGCATTGATTGTTAAATGCCACAAACACTCTCATTCTACAAGTCAAGTCGAGTACTTGTGAGAACTTAGTCTGACCGAATTATTCGTCTTTGTCGCGCCTCAGTTGATCTGTAAAAGATGGACAGTTAGGGTGTGACATAAAATGGTATCAATGCACGGTTATGGGATGAAAAGAATGTTGGGAGCGTGTTGAATTTAGAAGAAGTATGAATGATATTAATTATAATTTTATTTATACAAAGCTATAGGTTGATTGATCTGAGGTGGGTAATCCATACAACTTAAGGTGTCATAAATGGACGATATAATTATTATGTGATAAATTGCATTTGAATGATAAATTGTGTCAATACAGATGAATATGAATTAAAGAGAATCAAAAAGTACTGAGGGCCAGTCTCTTGGCCCAGTCTCATAGGATAGTTGCAAAATAAGACACACGAATTGAAAATATTTTGAAAAAAATTGATAATATGAACAGAGCAAATGAGGAAATTGACAAAATGACTGCTATTAAAAGATCTTCCACTGATATAAAGACCCAAATATGAACTTGGGGCAGATGTTGATAGCACTTGAAGATTTTTCAGACATTCAAAACACCTGCATGCAAGGGTGCTAGCGACCCTACACTTGCTGAAGGTTGGTTATTGAAGATCAGAAAGATTTTAGACGGTAAGATTTGTCCGAAAAGCAAGAGTGTCGTTAGCCACTTTTATGCTAGAAGGTGAGGTAGAGAGGTGGTGGCAGGCATAGCATAGAGAAAAATTTTGCCGACACCTATTCCATAGATTCAGCGGCATGAATTTGTTAAAATTTTTAAGGATTGATTTATTCCACCTTCAACCAGATTAGCACTGAAAAATAAATTTTTCAATCTGGCTGAGAGGTCCGGCTCATTTATGCAATATGAGAGAATTTACTTCTCTTTCCGGAGATGCGCCTTATTATGTTAGTACACAGGAAGAAAAATGCTATTGATTTTTGCTTAGCCTCAGAGATCAATTGAGGTTGCCTTTAGCGTTGTTCGAAATAAGGGATTTCTAAGTGCTCGTTGAAAAAAGCAGACAAATTGAAAATGAACTGAATTTTTTCGGTCAGTGATGACAACCTCAGGCAAGCAATAGAATGATTTTGGCAAATGAGAATACTTCCAAAATAAAAAAAATTAAATTAAAAGGTAAGCAGAAATAACCTCAGTCAGAAAAGTCAGTTTGTAAAAATTGTATAAAAAGACATTTTGGGCAATGTTTACAAATATGAAAAGTGCTACAAATATAAACAATCAGCGCATCTTCAGATGAAATGTCCGCAGAAAAAGAAGAGGCAACAGATCGATGACAATTCAAAGAGAGGGATAACCTGGAAAATTATTGGAAGACAGTCAATCTAGCAAAACTTAGTTTTAGGAAAGCCCTCAATTCAAGCATAAGGTGAAGCTTTAGAGTGCATAACCGAGCAACCAGTAAAAGTCATAATTTTTGCAATTACCGCTCAAGAAGCTAAAGAATCTGAAGTAGTTATAGATATGCTTTTGATTTAAGATCAGTCTGACACTATTCTATTTTATTCAGATGCATCACATTCTTTCCTTTCTAATGAGTTTGCTGACAGTTTATATATTTGATATTATGCATTTTACTTCTGCGTTGTATGTTGTTTTTCCTTTGGGAACTGATTTTTATGAAAACAGAAAATTTGTCATGCATGTTAACATTCATGATAAGAAATTACAAGCAGAGTTGATTATCATACCAATTTAAACTTTGAATGTCATATTGGGAATAGATTGGTGGGTAAAACAATTTGCTATAATTAAATGCTGGAAAGTGAAACTCAATTGGTGTGGTGAAAAGCCATTCTATATCTTATGTTATCAACATATATAATCATTCCTAATTAGTGTAGTGAAAGAAAGTATTTACAAAGTGATGGACTGGTGTTTCTAGCCAAATTAGAAGTGTTGAAGAAAGTTGTGCATGAATTGAAAAATATCTCAGCCATTACAGAATTTTCTTATGTATTTCCTAAAGAATTGTTAGGGCTATGTTGGCACTATTTTTGGTGTGGAGTTTGCCC